GAGATGACACACCATCTGCGCCATTATTTAGGAACCTATGAGCGCGAAGCTAAATTAATCTAATGGTGCCGTTATGCCATGTCACAGCTAATAAAGAGTAGCAGCTCTTTAACAAGCACGCTAACAGACTTTGTCTGTAACGAGGATGGTGAGAGGCAGGGGACAAAATGAGTCACGCATAATTAAATCTATGAAGGAGGCAGGAATTCTGCTCAGCAAAAAATGGAACCTTCAAGTTTATTTATAGCTCAGAAAGTGCATACATACTCTCGACATACTCTTATAAAAGGAAACAAAAGTACTAATCGGCTCAAGCTATTGTCACTGGAGCGTAATCCTGAAGTCGTTGACAAGCTTAATCTACGTCACCTGACTAATGATACACGCACTGAGCAGCAGGTATACAGAGTCAGGTCCGTCTATTACAGGGGTCTGCAACCTTTAATGGCCAAATAGACGTCTTTTCCCTGAGTCCTGCTGAGTAAACAGCATTAGAACCACAAAATATTACATCAATTTTAATAAACACAGACTAATATTTCTGTGAATTATCTGCAATCTTAAAAACCAACATTTTATTTGTATTTTTATCTTATAAAAAAATAATAAAACATAATTTCCAAGCTAATTAAAAGAAAACTTGCTCTAAAATCACACTTCTTGTTCTTTTAATGACTTTCTGTGCTGAAAATTCAATTTGAATATTCTTTATAAAAAACCACTAAAGCTTCAAAGATGGATTAGCATTATTTCAGTACATTAGTTTGCTTTTTATATCATTTTTAGCCACTATTAAGAGCCATTGTATAGGGTCCAGAGAGACAGATGTGACTCGGGAGCTGAGCTTCTAGCATCTGAACAGCTATGTCACCTTTGCCCTGTTTAAGACCGAATTCTGTTCAGGGGTGTGAAAAAATATTTGAACCCCTGTTAGAATGAGCGAAAAAAAAAATAGACTGGATGATGGCTGTTATTCAGCTGAAGCATGAAAAATCTGCGTTTTTCAAATGCAACATAGTTAGAACCCAAACGACAGCAATATAAACTTTTTTTTCAGCATTGGTAATTATAATTGAGAGATCTTATAATGATGTAAATGACAAAGATGTCAGTGTTTTGTTTGAAACTATTCTTCAATTGAATAAATATCCACAAATACTGGATAAAGCTGGATTTCCTTTTAAATGTGAATGTGGTTATAAAAGTTCGGCCCCTGAACTGTTTGTTGGTTCAAGAATCTGTTGATCCACTTACACCTTTTAGTCTTTGTGCTTACACATCTGTTCTTCATTAAAGTCAACCTGTCCTACCAGGATTGCATTGTTTTGGTAAAGCCAACATTTGCACAGAGGTCACTGCATGTGACTTTAGTCAAAAGGAGCTAATTGTTTAAAGGTATCTGTCAGAAGAAGAAAACAAACAAAATCACACATGATTTTAAGTAAATGTAGTACTGCTGTGAAGTATAAGTTTAATTAAAATTAAAAGAGAAGCTTGAAACTGCTCAGAAAGGCTTTCAAAGTGATGACAGCAGTAAAGAAGCTGGATTTTCTATAACTTGTAAATTGGTTTATTGTTTTCACAACTTAATTAAAGTGATCAAAATAAATACTAAACATTCCTTTGGACATTATTCTGCTACAGTGAAGATTTTTACTTGAAAGTAGGGCTGGGCAATCAAACCATAAAATATATATCGCAATAAACGTCTGATCAATAGGAAATACAAACAATAAAATTATCTATGATTTCATTGAGCTTCAAACCAGAACTGTAGGGTATTCTGGTGTATTTAAGCAAAAGAAAGAATTAAACCTCTCGTGGCCAAGATTTGTGAACTCTTTTTAAATGGAATGATCACATAGGGTTAAGTCTCTAATTTCTATTTGGCCTTTTTTCCTCCCCTGTCTTATTTTTTAAAGTTAAAGCAAGAAACGGATCTGTACTTATTGAAATCTACTGATATGAAAGGCTTTTGTCGTGATAGCTTTTCAGCCATATTTAAAATTATTTTTTTTAACATATCTTTATGCCGTATGTTGGCTAAGATTCCCAGTCATCTTGGTCATAGTTATTTCAAAAATAAGTTAAAAACAATCCAGGAAGCTTTTTCAATTTATTTGAAAAATTGGATTGAAAAAACTTCCTGGATGGGAAGTGAAACGTCTTGTGTATTGTTTTTAACTTGTTTTTTTTTTTTACATCTTTACGCCAAAATCTCAGCTTTTAAGGGAGTAAATAATTGAGGATTTAAACAAATAAATACCATATTATCCAGACTATAGAGCACACCTCACTATGAGTCACACCCTCTAAATTTTTTTGAAAAAACTGGAAACGTCTATCTATAAGCCTCAATGCTAATGTAAGCCGCTAATATCTAACTGTCTCCCACCAAACCTGTAGGGGGAGCTCTACATATCGCCCCTGGAGTAGGGATGAAGAAGAGTTGATTCAATCAACGGCTTTTCCTTAGATAGAAAACTTTGAATCAATTTCACTGTGTGATTGAATTATTAAGTGCCTTGAAATGACGTGTTATGAATTGTCGCTATATAAATAAACTGAATTGAATTGAAGAATGCTAGCTCTCTTTAGCTTGTTAGCTCGCAGCAGTAAGAGCTTCTACTGAAAGATGGGGCTTCCTCAGCTCTTTATTTCACCTCTGCAGGAGTTGAGCCCAGTCTCTTCATTGTTTCGGCAGCTTTAATGTTACAAATAAATGTCAAAATGTGTGAATTCGGGACATTTGTTCTCTACCGTACGTCCTGCTAGCATGTTCTTGTGCTAAATGAAAATTAGCTCCTTATTCCTTTATTCCCAACTTTGACTTTCCACAGAAAAGCCGCATGGTTCAGAGCGTGGGAAAAAAGTGGTGGCTTATGGTCTTTTATAACAAACACTTTAAAATAGGGATCAGTTTCAGTTTGATACTGGAAATATGATTTAATTCTAAGTCTTCAACTTCTGCTTCACAGTCACATTTAAATGAACACTATCCTTCTCTATATTGTCTCTGAAAAAGACAACCCTGTACATGAACTACTGCTTTATTACTATTTGAGAGTATTTCTAAGTTTTTTACAGGGACTTTGGTGAAGAGAAACTCCTGCTTCTCCAACCAGCATTACCAACCCACTGTAGTGTTCATATGATTAAATTATGTGATCAATACCAGACTTGAATCAACTGCCATTATCTCCCGTGAACAAATCGAGCATTATGGGATGCCATCTCCATGGCAGCAGTTTGCGGGAATTCCTTGCCTCCCATTGATTGGCCTGTGTTTTACAGTCTGTGGTCAGCGCAGGTGATGGATAACGATTTTAGCTAAAACACTTAGCTTTGTTTTTTGCCATTGCTTCATACACGCAGCCCAGAATGAAGAACTGAAGCTCATCTTCCAAAACGGAGGATGTTATTCATTAACACCTTTTTTACGAATCATTTACACTTTTATATTTTCAGATTTATTAAAAATCTTTTTTTATGCAATTATCAAATCCAAATTTAGGAAAGTGTAAAGTTGTTTTAGTCCTAAGCCTAAATTAATTACAGTTTTCCTTTTATTTATATTACTTTCTATTTATTCTCTAAGCTTTCTTTAATTTCCGGTCTCACTAAACCCCTTCATGACTACCTAAAGCCATTGTGTTACTCCCCAAACAAACAAAACCAAATATACAGTAGTAACATTCACATCATGAAATTATGCATATGAACATTAAAAATAAAAATGCAAAAATAAGGAACAGTTTTAAAATCATTCAGAACTGAACTCCACTGGAAAAAAGCATGTAAAAACATAACTAACACCTATATGATGAAATGGTCGGCATAAATTATTTTATGCCAGTCAGTCATAAGGCAAGGTAAGGCAAGGGAAATTTATTTGTATAGCTCAATTCAGTACAAAGACAATGCAAAGTGCTTTATATGATGAAAATATAGGAAAATAAAACAGATTATAAATTAAAAAATAAAGAAATCAAACAAAATAAAAAAGCAGAAACAAAAAAGAACATTAAAAACAGCTGGACTAAAGAAAATAAAAAAGTTGAACTACTGATGTTTCAGTTGAACTTTTTAACTAGAACAGTGGAAGGCAATCCTAAACAAATGTGTTTTTAGTCTTGATTTAAAGGAACTCAGGCTTTCCTCACTGTTACAGTTTTCTGGAAGTTTGTTCCAGATAAGTGGAGCATAGGAACTAAATGCTGCTCCTCGTACTCCTCAACATGTTCAGACTTCAAACATTCATATTGATCAGCTATGTTTCCACTCTACCAGTGTAACATGAGCCTCAAGTATTTTCGTGTCGAGGGCTGGTGTTTCTTCATATGCCAGCAAGAACCTAATATCAAGCAATCAATACCAGAGTCCAGAGGCCACCAACAAGAAGGCCAAAAAAGAAAGGATATTGCCATGCAGTGATCACATCCTGTGTGACAGATTCTAACACAAACCATCACAGTGATGGTGAAAATGGAAAGTGACACAACGAGGCGCTCTGCCGACCTCAACAGACCCCCGAAATGCTGCAGATAACGTCAAAAGTCTCATTTAATCGATTGTACAAGATAAGGTGGAAACCAAGTGAAGAAAAAGACAATGTAGATGTCTGACAGGCAGAAAGAGGGAGATAACAAATGTTTTTGTTCCACCAACAACACATGAAAAAGTCCATCAAATGGCCATCTTAACACATCTGAAAGTCAGAAAGGTTTGAATTTTTCACATGCTGCTAAAAAACTGAGTGCTTAATATGAGCTCCCACGAAAGCTACGAATTCAGATCTCAATTTTTGATGATTTCCGTTGACTTAGCTGAGAATGTTCTGAGAGCATTTTATGTCATAATTTCATAGGGTTTCTCTTCCTAACTTTAAAGATTATGGTTATGGTATTATATATGCTCTGAAATGCTCCAAGCACATTCGAACAGGTCTAAACATCTGGACAACTTGTAAAACCACACATGGTCCCTTTGCGTTCTCCTACCTTGGCCCTTATCTGTCCGGACGTTGATACTTTGCGGATCAACTTGTGTGAAGTCTCGTCTTGTTCTCCGTCGCTGTCTGAAGACTCTTCTGCAGCTTCTCCTATCTGAAACGCAAAGAGCGGTGAATTACTTTAACCTCAATGTGTTTCTGTGAATTTCTTTTCACCAGTTATCACAAAGATGGATTTTATCACTTTATTCTAAAGTTGTTTGTGAGGGGTGTAATGTGTGAACTCGCTGTGCTGCAGACAGAGCTGACGGGAAACAAACTTTTCACGTTTAGAGCTTATGGCCAGAATATAAGGCCCCACCCTAAAAATGCAACTGTTGCACAGAGGCATGTTAGCAACACTTTGCTCTCAGGCACTGTTTGGACAAGAACTGTCCATTAAGTTTCTGTTTCAGTTGACATTTTAGTTACGAATCACAGGCCACTACAAAAAAATGAAAAACAGTGTATTTTCCCTACCACACCAATAGAGGAGAGTACGCTCTTAAAAACTCACATGCAATGAAAAAAACCCTCCCTGCTTAAAAAGGCAGCAGCAACAAGTCAAACTGGACATCTCTTAGGGCTATTTTGTAGAGGACGTTTTCTTTTTTTGTACACAGCAACAGACACCATCACCTTGGAAACCATTTTCAAATCAAACCCTTTCCATAGAACAAATATTTTGTTGTGGTGTAGTTAAATTTGTAGGGAAGCAGTTGTTCCAACTGCTGCATTTCCGAATTCTCCTGAGTGGTCTCCGACTTTACACGAGTGAATAAAGTGAATGTGATTGGTCGTTTATCAAGGGAGCGGGATTGTTGTGGCGTAAGTTTTGCAAGCAAGTTTGATTGTGGCTGGTTTGTCGGAAGCATCTTGCTAACCTGTTAGCAACTTAGTGCTTGTAGGTTCCCAATGTGAAATTCTATTGGGACCAAGTAGCACTAAATTGGTGACTAAGAAACGACACTGTCAAGGAACGCTATGGACAGAGGAAACATGCAAGAGGAGGAGTTTTGTGTCGGAGGTCGTGGATGGGTCTCCTCTGTCATACAGTTTTTATTTAGAGAAGGAAAGCGGGACGAAGTTGTTGTGCAAGAGGACGCCAGGGCGGCAGAGGCTTGGTTCAACATATTCTCATTATCAGTTCGTATGAAATCGTACGAAAAGTTATGCACAGTATTTTGTGGGTTTTTGACGTTTTTCCTCGAAATACCATATCAGTGCGCATGCACAGCCAGCCAGACGAAAAAAGCAGAACAGCGGACGGACGTAAAACTGAGACGGACGAGCTTTCGACAGTGCAATAATTACTTCATGATGTCTCTCACTGGGTTGCTTGCTGTTTTGTATGTTAGGGTTAGGGTTAATTGTATGTTAAAATGTAAAGTATTGAAAAGTGCGTAAGATGCGCATGCGCACTGATATCTTGTCTCGAGGCAAGACGTAAAAATACGATTTCATACGACGAAAAAAACGTCAAAAACCAACGAAATACTGTGCATAAGTTTTCGTACGATTTCATACGAACTGATAATGAGAATACACTGCTTGGTTTGGTGTAGAAGGCTTACAGCCGTACATGTTTGAGCCCTTGCCTCGCAACGCTGCCAGTTCTGTTAGCTCTACGCCTGCTGAAGACACAGACGTCCATCCCTGTTAAAACTGGGACGGAACTCAATGGGAAAGGAAATTGTTCTTTTTTCTTATTTCAACGGTTGCGTATATTAGCTGCGACATATGAATCAAGATGCTATGAACGAAAAAAATATGATTGACAGATGACCGTTGATATATGATTGTCCGAATTTAGGCTCACAGGCTGACGCATAACTAACTGGCCTATAACTAAACAGCAAGTTTCTAAATTTTGGGCCAATATCATCTGATAAAGAGTACATTTATATACATGTTTAAGCCAGAATGATTTGACATTTAAATATGATTTCCCTACGACTTTAAATGTGAAAAAAAGAAAAGAATCAAGTTAGCAATGTCTTTGCAACCGCTACTCTAACCCGGCACTGCAAGCATAGAGTCAATCTCCTCCTTTGAACCAATTAAACCTAGATTATTTCAAAAGTCAGAAAGGTTTTGATGGAATATAATGTTCCAAAAATGAACATATATTTACACGACTGGCCCTGTCTATAACAAGCATTATTAAAGTAGTAGCTTTACAACATGTAAAGGTGAGAGTTACACGCTAGTCTGTTTTTTTAATCTTTAAAAAAACCTACCCTCAATGAGTATTTCTTTCTGAATGTCGTAAAATAACTTACATATAACTTTAGCTTTTTAAGCCATGTTCTTAATATAATCTAGGTTTGTGACAATTGCTGGTATCTGTGCAATATATTTTTTGAGCTACTTATTGAATAAAGGCTCTTGCACCTCTTTATTGTTGGTGAGAAAGACAAACTGGACTGTTTTACACCCATAAATTCTGGATGATGACGAACAAATAGAGACTTTGTTTACAGCATCCACCACTCATTTGAATATAAATATGATCTTAAAATATTTAGTTGTTTTTTTTTTATCAAATGAAAGAAGTCCTACTAAATATGAAATATTTATAATATATAAAACTTTCAGAGAAGCAAGTAATGTTCATTAGCCTTTGACTTTAGTTAATGGGAAGAACTAATTTGGATCTATATAAAAGGACGAATCAAAGAGGGTTACTTAGTACAAGATCATCGGTGCTTCCAACAAGAACCAGTCTCAAAATATCAGATACACCTGTTTGGGCGTTATGTAATCTTTCTCTATGCGGAAAGGTAGAAATAGTGCCTTTATTGTTGAGTACATATTGTTATCAGATCTGGAAATAAGCTGCCAAACAATTTACCTAGCAGTATTGGGGCCAGTAAATAGAAAATAATTTATAATAAACAAAAGTAGGGCTACAACTGATGATTATTTTGTAAATCGATTAATCTGTGGATAATTTTTTCGATTAAACGATTAATAATCGGCTAAGCAAAGGTTCCTTTAAATACTTTTAGCTAATTTTAACCAGGTGAAACTAAAAGTTTTTGTATAGAGTATATTGACAGAAAAAAAAAACAATTTTTTATTTTTATCTTAAATGCAAAATGTTTACATATTTTTTGATATAACTATTGCCTTAAGTGTCTGTCAGCTAAAGGCATGTTTTACAGTCTTTACACTACAGTTAACCATTAATCAATTACTAAATTAGTCGAGGATTATTTCAAAAATCAATTAATCCGATTCATTGTTTCAGCCCTAAAAAAAGCATAAAACTCATTTTTGCACTGCTAAAAAAAATCCCTAAAATCCACCAACATCTGCCTTGTTTGTGTCATGGGAAAGAGCTTCATTCAGTTAAATGCTCAATGACTGCTGGGCTCCTAGAAATAGATCCTACACTGTAGTGTGGAGCCCATTTTAGCAGCCTAGTGCTATGTAATCAAAGGGATGATTATCACTAAGGGCAAACTTATGAGAAACTGTGGTTGACCACAGTCTGTGCAGCACAGCGGAGTTTGCGCCCTTTCATTTAGCCGTAGGACACAGACATGTCCTCTGGAAATTGGTACTTGTTTGTAGGAGACAGAACATTTATTTCTGCTTTTTTTTTTCTTTGAAGAAAAGGCTCCAGTTATTTCTACTCCTGCTAAAATATAACTCTTAAATCAAAATGCAAAGTAGTCTTTATAGAGCATCCTAAGTATAACAGGCTGACATTAAATGATTAATTAGTTTTGGTTTCTGCCAACCTGCAATTATCTGCTACACATGCTGTTTGTGGCTTACAACTGGAGTTTTTAAGGGATCGGTCGTTATCTTTCACTTTTCATGACCGTCTTTTTTTTTTCCTAAGTGAAAATGCTTCTTAGCAGAAACCTTTGGTCTTTCTTTTAAGCAATGGAAACACCAGCTAACTAACTGCACGCAACAAAACAGATCAGCTGCCTCTTTTGAAGTAATAGTTTGCTTATTTTAGTGCATATGACAGGCTTAAAGAGACAAAATATATATTATTGGTGTAAAAGTGGTAATTGAACTAAAAAAAAAAAAATTTTTTTTTCATAGAAAATGGTTTCTAGATCTTAACTACTTTGCAAATATTTCCACATTTTTTGTAAGTTTTCTTTTGAGCTAAATATCCACTAATATTCCTATGTGTTTAAAATCTGTTAACAAAAACATAGCGAATTCTGTTAAGTGCTGGTTTTTGTAATTAAAGAAAGTTAAAATGAAACTTACTAATGTAAAGTTTATCACACTTTTTTCTCCCTATTGGTACCTCCTTTATTAAAAAAAAAAAACGTGTGACATCACAATATCCTGTAAAACGTGTTGTTAGTTTATGATTTTTTTTAAACTATTGTCTGTGTTTAATGATCTTTTCTTGCCTTATTGCCCTGATCTAAAAATGTTTCCTGGCAGTTATTTGCATTCCATCACTTCCTGAGCGCTGAGAGGCAACAGCAGCTTATATTTAGACATGTATAAAAAAAAAAAGATGAGTCATATTTCACTGGAGTTGAGCAACAGATTAACAACACTGTGAGACTTCAACCTTTGAACTTGCTGTAAAAGAAAACGCACAAACGGATGATGCTTTTAAATTTAGCTTTGTTTGTTAAGTGGGATTATGTGAGATCACCACATCAAACACTTTTTATTGTACCTTTTATTCTTTAAATATGTTTGCTGCTCATATGGGGGCCTAACACATTCACATGTTGAGACTGATTTATTTAGTTTCTCAAATATGGAAGACCACTGGTCTAAAAATGACAGCTTTGACAATAACCTAATGGAGTAGAAGATTCTCAGTCCAGTTCCAAGTTTGAAGACGTTTCGCTTCCCATCATTTTGAATTGAAAAAGCTTCCTGGATGTGAAGCGAAACATCTTCACACTTGGAAACAAAGTCCAATTTTCTTTTTTTGCAATAACCTGAATTATTCAAGTTATTGCAGCATTCACCATGCCATTTTACTTTTTTACCCAGCAAATCAGACATGCTGACAAAATATCAGGTAAATTAAGAATCAATTTACAATTAAACATGCTTATTATGCAGGATTATATAAAATAACTAAAGCGTAACAAAGTAATAGCAGTAGCTCATCGGGGCCTTCTAAGTTATTTGGAGTAGCTGTTTACAATTAGCAAGTTGTTTTCCATGATTTTTAATGGCCCCCATAATTTACATTCAACAGCCGATTTAACGGCTGATCTTCTTCACCAATCATATCTACCCCTCTAAAGATGTGGAAACCGCCCACTGTCAATGCTTTAAAGCAGTTACTTCAGAAATGTTGTTGTTTCACAGGCAGTGTTTAATGTTTTTTTTTAGTAAGATAAAATTGAAAGATCTTGTATCTTGTGATCTTATAACAAAAGAGTGTCAGTTATGAAAAGAAACAGTGTATTCTCATTATCAGTTCATATAAAATCCTACGAAAAGTACGTTTTTTACGTGTTTTTCGTTGTATTTCATCGTATTTTCACGTCTTGCGAGACAAGATATCCTTACGCACCATTTAATAACATAGAATTTAACATACAATTAACCCTAACCCTGACCCTAACCCTAACCCTAAGATATAAAACAGCAAGCAACGTAGTTAAAGACATCATGAAGTAATTATTGCACTATTTTTCCCATTTTTACGTCCGTCCGCGGATCTGCTTTTTTCGTCTGTCTGTCTGCGCACTGATCTGTATTTTCGAGGAAAAACGTCAAAAACGTACGAAATACTGTGTATAACTTTGCGTAGGATTTCATGCGAACTAATAATGAGAATATGTTGAAAGAAATTTGTATCGGTCAAAATCGGAAACAGCATGTCGGGCTTTTTAAAGATCAGGAATCAGTGATCGTCAGAAAGTGGTAATCCGTGCACCACCAGTAGAATCTGTCTTCCTTATAAGTGAAGGAGAAGTATGGAAGCTGCAACAGGTAGGGTAAGGGGGGCTACTCTAAGCTAAAAACCCACTGAGAAAACAGTGACATCATTATAGTCTCTTATAGACTCACAGTTTTCAGTTTGTTTAGGTCTAAAATGCTAATTCTTTTAGTAAACTGAAGGAATTTCAATATGACACTGATTTATGGATCAGTGCATGTATTCCTAGGCTTGCTGATGTTTTTTGTCAATAGGGGCAATGGGCTGTTTGTTGATGCATTTCTAAACACAAACGATTGATATTTAATAGTTTGGATACCAGGAAAAATAAACACCTGTTTTAGCCATTTAAGCCTGCTGACTATAATAATCGAGATAAAATCATCAATTTTTGCTTTAAGAATGAAGGGTTGCTGCAGTTTTCTCTGGAAATTCTTTAAAGCAACTTTAAAGCCTTAAATAGGTATAAAGCAAATTCTACGGATAAAAAAATTTGTTTTAAAAAGCATAGACAAACACCAACAAATACTCACAATGTGAGTTCTTTCAGAATCAGCTTGGGGGGATCCCAGGGACTCTCCAGGGCCAGACACATACAGGACGTTGGGGTTTAGTTTGGAAGCCATGACCGGTTTGCAGAAGGAGAACAGGTAAGAATGGATGAATTCAACGGCTGTGAGATATTCTGGATGAAAGAGGAGGGAGAGGAGAGAGATGTTAAAGCTGGGGACAAAAGCTCTCTTTAAAATAGATATTTCTATCCAGGTCCCACTCTGGAAAAGATGGAGGGATGAATTATTGATAAGCAGATTTCTTTTTTTTTTTTCTCCTAAAAGCAGAGAGTGCTCCAGGTTCTCAAAGTTGGGAACACATAAACAACAACCTTCCCATGCAGTTAAACCTCCCCTTCTCTACTTTGGCAGTCTATTAAGCACATTCACTTCTTTTTCTCAGTTCCTCTTAATTCTGCCAACTTTATGTGCATTTTTAAAAAAAGCAGCCCCTACTGCAGGCTGTTTAAGGTAAACAGTAGCTTCATTTCTTCTGATAGAAGTCCCGCAGCCGGTGACGATAAAGAGGTTCATAATCTTATTTTTAAGCAATAAATTCATAAAGCGGATGATCAGATGAGGAGCTGCGTGCTTCAGAAGCGTAAACGCGCGAGATCAGAACACTGAAACCCTTTTTTTTTTTTTTTTTTTTATAAGATTCCAAATAATGATGATGAATTGTCGGCTTGTTGCGAGGCTGTGCGCGTGGCGCGCGTGGTGCGCGTGCGGGCTTTCCTTGATTACGATGCGGCCACGTTCTTCAAAAGGACCTGTCTGCATCTCACCACACCGCCTCTCCCGGTGGCACCCGACCTGACCACTGAGACAGTTTATGTTTAAAATAAAATGACCCAAAAAAATACAAAACGCTGGAGAATGAGCATATCTTTGATTCCGACGCGTCTTCTGACACATTTATAAACAATAATAAACAATAATAACGCACAACAGGCTGCGGAGCGCTTCATCATCATGCGTTTGCTCACATCCAGCACTTATTTATTAACTCCTTGCTTTTATTCGCTTCAGCTGTCATCAGAGCCGATGCGTTCACGGTGTGTGCGGCCACCTCCTCCGCACAAACACGGACCCTCAATATAATAATAATGATAATAAAAACAGGAGCAGCTTCTACCTCCGGACGACACTCTGCTGCGGTGTCTCTCCTTCTCCCGGTGCCCGCCTGGGAGCCTCGTCTGCCGGGTAAGGCTAGTGCTGGCAGCCGGCGGTCAGCAGGCGCTCTCCGGTGGTGCTCGCCTTGCAGAGAGAGACGCGGTCACACGCATAGCGCCGGAGCGGCTGTGAATCAGGTAGGAAGAGGGGGGAGAGGAGGGGAGGCGGCAGATAAAAAGACAGAAAGAAAAAAGAGAGAGAGAAGAGAGAGAGAGAGGAAGGGAGAGAAATGTGAAAGCGGCCGTGTTTGAGCCGCCTCAGAACGCTGTGCCGAGGTTAAACGGAGAGCAAATAACGCGCGCACGCAAGCGGGCACGACACGCGCGTGCACGATGGAGAGGGCGCGAGGATACAAACAGCCTGCACAGATGCGTATAAATAAACCCTATGCTGAGGAAGATTCTGCTCTTTATGCGTTACAGAAAACAAACAAACGAACAAAAAAAAAAAAAGCATTTGTTTTTTTTCCCAGGTTTTTTTTTTTTTTGGGACAGACCCCAAACAAAGCAGCAACTGATAGTTAAGTGTGTCCAGGAAGATGTGATTTTATAATCTCAGAATTATAACTATCGGTAAGCAGAGACTGTAGTTGCTTAGGGGCCCCCGACCTCTTAGGGCCACCGTCATTGACATCTGTGAACTAGGACTTCTCTGTGCAAATTTAATGGTGTAAAAAATTCATCTTTAACCCACCTGGTACTGGGACCTTATTTATACCCCAACACATGTGAGATTTCAACATGATGGTCAGCCGTTTAAACAGGACATCAATAGCAAAGCAGACAGTGTTACTTTTATTACTATGATAATAACTGTGTATAGCTGGTAAAATATTACACTCATGTTTCAAACCACAATAAAGATCTTAAAAGAACAATTTATTTGAGTATTTTATTTTTTACAATACGACTTGGAATTATGGGTAATCCAGAGCGTAGATTAAAACCATAACCGTTTGTACAATGTGTTAGTGATGGAGGGAGGGTAGGGGATGGGATGTTGTACTTCATATGGGGCCCACCCAGATAATGTTGCTTACAGGCCTATTGTGTGGTTAACGCCATTGTGCGGTACACTTTGTCTATTTATCATCTTTTCAGTAATGATACACCTCATGTTTACTCCAGAGTGAAATGTTGAGATAACCGCATCATATTATGCTTTAAAGCGGAAACTTAAATGGAGCTAAATACAATCAATCCTTAAAGAATACCTGCAAATGATTTGGGAATGGGGTTAAGGTTCACATTGTACACCATTGGGCAAAATCAATGAAAAAATATGAATGTTGTCAAATAGTTGGGGCACATTCATTTTCTGACATGCTTAACCCCAGGTGGATTTGTGAGGGGTGCTGGTGCCTATCTCCAGCTGTCTACAGGCAAGAGGTGGGTACATCCTGTACAGCTCACCAGTCCATCGCAGGGCAACACAGTGACAAACATTCACACACACAGCTAAGGAGAAAGTAGAGAAGCCAATTAACCTCAACGTCGTGTTTTTGAACTGTGGGAGGAAGTCAGAGTACCCAGAGAGAACCAATGCATGCTCAGGGAGAACATGCATAACCCCGGTCCAGGAAACAAACCCACAACCTTCTTGCTGCAAGGCAGCAGTGCTACCCACTGCACCACTGAGCAGCCCTATATTAATCTATGTTTCATTAAATATGTGAATACAACTTTGTAAAAGGTCATGAAACCAGCACCTCCATGTTGTCTAAATCAGAATTTTCCAGCTTCTGTGTGTTTTTTTCCTTTGGTACTTACTACATAACCCTAGTCCTATGCCTGAGTTAATATTAATGGAAGATGGTTGAGCTCTAATAGTATATTTAGAGTTCCAAAAATTATTGGGGAAAGGTAAATATCTAAAAAAAATAGCTCTGATGTAGCTCAGTGCTGTTCCAATAAATAACACTGGCCTGTGGTTGTGTGCTTGTGTGTGGAGTAGGGTGGGGGAGTCTGCTAGCAAGAATGAAATGGATTAGATTAAAGGTCAAAGTAAGAAGTGAGACGCAAATAAATGACTTGATGAATAAACCAATGATTACAGACACTCCTCAAGAATAAAAAAGTAAATAAATTTCCTAAAAGCGCGTTCATGAGTCTACGGAAACCGCGGCAGACCAAACCAGACGAAAGTGCGCATTCAGCTCGGCAAAGAACTCATGCTCTTCCTCAACACTGAAGTCCTCAGACATTTTTCTTTCGTTGTTTCTTTCTTTGCACAGGTAAACAGCACATTTCTTCTTCTACGCTTGCATTATTGGAAGAGCAGACGCTGAATGCGCACTTTCATCTGGTTTGGTCTGCCGCGGTTTCCGTAGCGTCGTGAACTCGCAGGCGCGCGCTTTTAGGAAATCCTATACCCTACTGTTTATGCTCTAAAAACATTCTAAATGACTTCGTTTCGAATAAATTCTGGATGCTACCCACTCAGGACACTTGGAATACATTGGACGAGCAGTATGGAGGAATATTGACACGTTTTTTGTGGACTTTTATGGACCTTTCTGCCTCGGGCACCATAGAGCTCCTTTATTTGAATTTCAGCAGACAGCAAGAAGCCTCCCAGATCTCCAGATGCATTTGAGATATCAAAAAAGTACTCCAGAGTGTTGTTCAGCATGGGGGTGAGTAGAACATGAAGGCTAATCATGTTTTGGGTGTATTATTCCTTTAAGATATCAAAAGTAATTCCAGTCTCAATTTAAAATGAATAAAAATCCCATCTCTAAGTGTTTTTTGAGAAAGTATGGACTTTACTTAGCGTCCATAACCATTTCATTGCTCAGTGATGAGATATGGATCATGACCAAAGCTGACCAAATGAGCCCTATCTGTGAGGTGGCCAGATTTAGTCTTTGAGACAGGGCAAGGAGTTCCATCATCTGGGGGTAGTTTGAAGTAGAGCCACTACTCTTCCCAGGTGAAAGAAATCCGTTGATCAGGATGAATATATGGAGCCTTAGTTCCCCTGCCTGTCCAACTGAAAGGAGACCCTGGAAAAGAACAAGATCCTACAGTTAGTGTATAGATGATAGATAGATGGGGAATTGGTCCCTCACTCAAATCAATTAAGTTTAGTTATATAGGTCCCATTCACAACACATGTCATATGAAGGCAGTTCACCAGATCATCTAGTTAAATTGATTCAAAGTTTTCTATCTAAGGAAAACCAGTTGATTGCATTGACTCATTGACTTTAATGCAATCCCTCACACTAGGCATGCTTGTAGCGGCAGTGGAGAGGAAAAATTCCCTTCTAACAGGAATAAACCTCCAGCAGAACCAGGCTCAGTGTGAGCAGCCATCTGCCGAGGCCGACTGGGGTTCAAAAAAACAGAAGCTGAGATACAAAAAGCAACTGCAAAAGGCGGCCCCGTCCAGGAAACACACAGCCAGGTAGACAAGCTCGGAGCCAGCTCCCGTGTCAGAGGATGAAGGGAGCACATCCAGCCAGTCACAGTTAGAGAAACAGGACTACACTGAAAAACAGGCAGATCTCGAACATCTATAAACAAAGGTGTTGATGGCAGTAGCACAGCAGATCTATCCAGGATGGTGTCACAGCCAAACAGGAACAGACGAGGCGAAGCTACTATGAGAAAAAGAGAGAGCATAATGTTAGAGATTGAACTAACAGATTCTCCAGACAAATGGAGATAGAATGAAGCAAAATGATGAAAAAGGGGTCCCTATGTCCTCCAGAAGTCTAAGCATATAGCAGCAAAACTAGCTCAGGATAAGCTAACTATAAGCTTTATGAAAAAGGAACTTTCGAAGCCTATTCTTAACCCTGTAATGCCAAATGTATCATATTTGATACATACCGTTTCTGAAATGTTTTGCGTCTGACACCTTTTGCATAATTTAATGGTAAAAACTTTGCTCAAAATCCTATTGTACACGATCAGATATACCTGATAACAGAGGGCAGAAGACTACACAATAAATAATCTTGACTTATCGCATAGTAATAAATTATTAATATCAAAAATGTATTTCTGTTTTTTCTTTTTACATATTTTGTTAAAAAGGTCAAATAAGGACTTCAAACAAAAAAAAAGTAATTTTCTGTTTTGTTTTATTCTTGGATCGGGCTTTAAAGGGTTAAAAATAGACAGAGTGTCAGGACTAAAACAGATAGCTGGTTCCACAGGAGAGGATTCACAGATTCCTTTGGATTGAATTAGAGGGCTGTTTCAGTTTTGTGCAGAAACTGGGCATTTAATAAATTCCAGTTTGCACATCTATACTGGATTATTCTACTTCAAAGAGAGATTTATAATAAAAACTAAGTTTTTGCAGAATGAGCTTCATTGGGTTGGTAGCATTTAGTATTTTAGTGAAAGGCTGTTTTGGATTGTAACAGAAGATTAATGTAGAACTCAAAGATTTATAACCACATTTAATTAAATCAATGCACTAATTGACTCTTGAATTAACAGACTTAGTTATGTAGCTTATTGATAGAATAACAATCTTTCCCTTAGGCCTATTTAGCATTTTTTTTTTTGGTGCTTTCAGTACTAATAAATGAGCACCAGGCGCCAAATAAGTTGAGTATGTTGAAAGCTCAATTTCTTTTAAAGTGCTTTCAGATTGACATGAGTGATTTATTTTCCAATCCTGCAGAGACCAGTAGAGGCACATGTAATCTTTGGGGCTGAGTGTGTTTAGCTAACTGCTGTATTTCTGCTTGACATTTCAGAAGGCATCGGGACTCACTGTACAGTACAAATGTAAACAGATTCAGTTTAGATTCATGTGGCTTATTAGATTTCCCTTTCCCCAAAGGTTCATGTTGTTGTTTGTTGCTCATTATTGCTTTGACTACCAAAAATGATTATAGGAATTATTGCTTTTCAAGGTAAAATACCAATGATTTTGAAATGATAGTCCAGCAGAAAGGAGTGTTTATTGGTCAAATTAAAAGAAATGGACACAATTTTTTTAACTCCTAAAGGTATATATTTAGACTGGATTATATTTAGTGGCATTCAAGCTAAATAAGTCAGAATTTATTCATTTACCATGTTACTTAACTCTTGTCTACTTTGTCATCTCGTCAAAATTCCAATTAAATACAACTATGTGCCTGCAACATCCCAATATGTAACAAAAAGTGAAAGTGGAACCATCTGCTTTATTTGCCTGTTTGACGCCTTCATGACTCATGAACATCACTCCCATTCCACCACATCTGCAAACTCTGACATGTACCTCACATAGACATA